TGAGCCGGCAGCCGCCCCTCTTGGAAACGCCCCTCCTTGTGGACAGCGCACCCCCTTTCCGTCCTGGCCCGCCGTGCGCCTCGCCGGTCGGCGCTGGGGCAGCCCTGCGCCCTGCCGCGAGGCTGTGGCGAAACGATGGCGGAAGCCCCGCTGGCGGGCCGCCGGCTCTCGGTCCGCCGCGCAGCACGGCGTGAGCCGCCATCCGGCCGCGGCCTGCGACTTCCGACCCTGCGGGCTGGGCGCGCCCCCGCCTCGCTGGGCCGGGCTCCTCACCCGAGCAGAGCGGGCACCCGCGTACCACCGTCGCGCCTTTGGAGGACTGGCTGCGAGAGCGCAGTGCCCGGCCGTAAGCGCTGGCCACGCCTCACCCCGCCTGCGTGGACCCGGCTGGGGCCCAGGCCCGCACGCGTGCACGCGAGCTCCGGACAGCCCACCCCTCAGGCGCCTGCAGCCCTCTGCTGCTCTGCCTGGCTCCCTCGCCTGTGCCAGAGGGCTGTGGCAGCCTGGGGACAGGGCGGCCTGGACGTTCATCCATTCAGCGTCCCCAGGAACAGGCCTCAATCAACGTAGGACAGGAGCTGACAGAGGAATATTCCAGCTGCCGGGGCCTGTGGCCCCATGGTGGGTAACTCTTTTTTTGTAAATTTGTTTATACTATTTTATTTTGTATAGTTTTTTTTTGTCCTTAGGTTTTATCTCATTAAGGGTATATTTTCTAATTGCTGCTTTTTCCCCAAATTTTTAATTTTGGTAAAATATACATAACATAAAATTTACCATCTTAACCTTTTCTTTCTTTTTTTTTTTTGGTGAGGAAGATTGGCCTTGAGCTAACACTTGTTGCTTGAGGAAGATTGGCTCTGAGCTGACATCTATGCCTACCTTCCTCTACTTTGTACGTGGGTTGCTGCCACAGCATGGCTTGATGAGTGGTGCAGGTCCATCCACGCCCAGGATCTGAACCCTCAAACCTGGGCCACCAAAGCAGAGTGAGCTGAACTTGACCACTATGCCACCGGGCCGGCTCCCCATCGTAACCATTTTTAAGTGTACAGTTCAATAGAGTTAAGTACATTTGAATTGTTGTGCAACCCTCACCACCATCCATCTGCAGAATGTTTTCGTCTTCCCAAACTGAAACTCTGTCCTCATTAAACACTAACTCCCCATTCCCCTCCCCCAGCCCCTGGCCATCCCCATTCTACTTTCTGTCTCTAGGGATTTGACTCCTCTAGGGACCTCATATAAGTGGAATCACACAGTATTTGTCCTTTTGTGACTGGCTTATTTCACTTGGCATAATGTCCTCAAGGTTCATCCATGTTGTAGCATGTCAGAATTTCCTTCCTTTTTAAGGCTGAATAATGTTTTATTGTATGGCTAGATCACATTGTTTATCCATTCATCCCTCCATGGACACTTGGCTTTTGTGAATAATGCTGCTTTTGGTTATAGTGAATAAGGTTGCTACGATCATGGGTGTATAACTGTCTGAGTCCCAGCTTTCAATTCTTTTGGGTATATAGTCAGGAGTAGAATTGCTGGATCATATGGGAATTCTATGTTCAGTGTTTTGAGGAGCCTCTGTACTGTTTTTCCACAGCAGCTGCACCATTTTATATTCCCATGAACAGTGCACAAGGGTTCTAGTTTCTCACCAACACTTGTTTTCTTTCTCTCTGTTTCTCTTTCTTTCTTTCTCCTTTTCTTTCTCTCTCTCTCTTTCTTTCTCTTTCTCTCTATCCCTCTCCTCCTTCCTTCCTTCCTTCCTTCCTTCCTCCCTCCCTCCCTATGGAGGGATGACAGTGGCCATCCTAATGGGTGTGAAGACATATTTTATTATGGTTTTGATTTGCATTTCCCTAATGATTAGTGATGTTGAGCATCTTTTCATTTGCTTGTTGGCAATTTGTATATCTTCTTTGGAGAAATGCCTATTCAAGTCCTTTGCCAGTTTTTTAATCAGGTTGTTTTTTGTTGTTGTTGAGACATAGAAGTTGTTTATATATTCTGCATATTATCAGATATATGACTTGCAAATATTTTCTCCCATTCTACATGTTGCCCTTTCACTCAGTTGTGTCCTTTGATGCACAGAAGTTTCTAATTCTGATCTAGTACAATTTATCTATTTTTACTTTTGTTGCCTGTGCTTTTGGTATCATCTCTAAGAAATCATTGCCAAATCCAATGTCATGAAGCTTTCCTCCTATGTTTTCCTCTAAGAGTTTTATAGTTTTAGCTCTTATGTTTAGGTCTTTGATGCATTCTGAGTTATTTGGTGTATATGGTGTGAGGTAAGGATCCAACTTCATTCTTTTGTATGTGGATATCCAGTTCTCCCAGTTCCATTTGTTGAAAAGACTGTCCTTCCCCACAAAATGGCCTTAGTACCTTTGTCAAAGACCATTTGACCGTGTACTCGAGGGGTCATCCCCATGGAGGGCGATTCTGTGGCATGTTCTCCACAGGCTTTCGGAGGGTCCCTGGCTGCCCACAGTGTAGCCTGCCCATTGTCACACCCTATATGGCTTGTTCCCCCTTCCTGGTCTCATCTCCTCTCCCCCACTGTGTTTTCTGGGTCATTTCCCAAAAAACTGCCTGCTCCTAAGTCCTAAGTCCTAGGTCTGCTTTTGGGGGACCCACCTCAGACACCTGGCACGTGGAAGTGCTCAGGAGAAGTTTGCTGGACCATCACTCTCTCTGTAACAGTGCAGCACTGCTATTCTTTGAGAGCTGGAATCTCTAAAGCCTGAAATGAGCCGCTGCACACCTCACATCCTTTAGTCACCACAGCAACCTGAAGGGGCTGTGTTATAAACCTTGCCTGATGAAAAAGGAGACGGGGGTCACAGATGGTTACCGCTGTACGAGGCTGAACTGGGACTGAGCCCTGGACGGCCTAAGGCCAACTCTGGGCCTTGTCCCTACCTTGTCCCGTGACCAGGAGGCCCTCACGGGGGCTGCTCAGAGCCAGGCCCTGTGCTGGGCTTTGGGCACATCATGAAGGGGACAGTGTCCCTGCCCTCAGGGCTCTTCTGCATCTGCCCGAGGGTTCCTGTCTTTCTGAGCTGGGGACGCTGCAGGGCCAGCCGGGTCCAGGACTCCAGGAGCCCACTCCGCAGGTGAGCGGGTCTGGGCATGCGCGCTCCCTGCTGGGACCAGCAGCTGCAGAAGCAGTAACCTGCCGTGAACACACTGCCATTCCTGCCTCTCTGTCTCCCCCTGTTCCCACCCCTCCTTTGCTCGCCTCCAGCCCGGGCTCAGGGTTCTAATGGCCTGGAATGTGGGGGTTTGGACCCCGAGGGCCCTGCAGGGATGTAGCACACACCTCTGTGGGCCCTGCCTCCCTGGCCCGAGCTCCTGCCATGGGTTTGGCCCGCAAGGATGCAGCGAGCCCAGGTGGATGGGGTTTGTCACTCACCCCAGCTGCAAAGGTGAGGCCAGCCTGCTGTCGGCCCCCTGAGTTCCCTGTTCTCCAGCATGCCACTGGGCTGACCGGCCAGATGACAGACGCCACAGAGATGGGTGTCTGTCATGGAGGAGCCGACTCTACACCACAGCCAAGTGGTCTTATCGTCCACCCCTGCACCTGGGGGAGGGGCCGAGGGGGGCATCCTGTGCCTCTGCAGAGCTGGGGAGGCTGTGAGAAATGGCTTGTGACAGCTCCTCACGGTGCCGCCTGCCTTCCCACGTCCCGGGACGGCAGGGAGTTCTGCCCAGACTAGGGTCAGGTGGAGGGGCTTGTGTGGAGACAGGCAAGGTAATCCGGTGCCGGGGCAGAGCCGTCCCCTCACAGTGGGGCACGAGGTGCGGGACAGGTCAGCTCGGCCTCTCTGTGGCCCTAGTGCCCCCGCACCCAGGGCAGCCTGCCCAGGTGAAGGCCGTGTTAGATGTCCTGGCTGCTCAGAGGACCGTGTCTTAGTGAGGAGGGCTGTACCTTAACACCACGGGTGGTGATTAGCCAGGGAACACTCACCTTAGGGGACATGGGACGCCTATCTGGACTGTCCCTTTAAGCCACTATACCTTCACCCAGTACTCTCCCCCAACTCAGGGCCACTCCTGGATTCACTCCTTTCTCTGCGTTTTGCTTGTCACATGCGTATAAAGGAGGGAGAGAAGGGACCCGGCTGTCTAGAGCTGTGTAACACACCACCTCCATGCCTAGTGTCTTACGCAAGGAGTGGTTTACTGCGTCTCAGGCGTTCGCGGGTCAGGAGGTGGGGCAGGGCGGCGCCACTGTTCCTCGTGGCGGGGACAGAGGGTGCTCTCTGGTGGGAGTTGATGAGGGGCTGGTCTGGATGGTCAGAGAGGATTTCCTTGTTGGCGGTGCCCTGGCGGGATTGGCTGGAAAGCTGGCCTGCCTGCGCCTGCAGACGGCGGAGTCGCGTGGGGCCTGCCCCTGTCACTTGTGCCGTGGGATCCTGGCAGCACGGCCGCCTCAGGGTGGCCGACTCCTTCCATGGTGCTCAGGGCCCCTGGAGGGCGAGGCAGGGCCCTAGTGCTGGCCGAGGCTGGACTCCGAGCTGCCTGCCTCTGCTGGCCAGCCTGTCCCAGGGCCAGCCCGGGAGCTAGGGCCGGGCATCATTCTCCACCTCCAACACCGGAGGACAAAGACCGTGGCCATTTGAAACCTCCCACAACAGAATCCCCCACAGGTCATTAGACCTTCCGTATTTAAGATTTCAGCGTATTTTCTTCAAGGGTTTTTTTAAAAACCATATTGTGATTACATATTCTGCTTTTTTAACTTACCCTTCTATTTAGAGCATTTTCCTAGGTCGTGAAAACTTCGTACATACTGTTTTTGATTTTTGTTTGATACTATATGTAACCATCCCCCACTAGCTAGACGTCTGGGGTTTTCTCTTTCTTGGTAATGTAGCTAATGCTGCGGTGAACATCTTTGTACGCGGGTCTCTGCTCCCCTTTTCTCTCCGTGGTAGACATGCCTAGACGAGCCTTGGCATCAGTCTGACCTGCTTCTTCCCTCACACCCTCCTCCTCGTGTCTGACCTGGACACGCTTTGTTCTCCTCTGGTCTTGCCCTACCCGGCTGGGTTTAGGCGTGCCGCCCCCGCCCGTGGTCTCTGTCTCCCTGGGCTGTTCCCTGTGCACGTACATCCGCTGGTTCCCCGTGTTGGGACCTTCCTTCCTCGGTGCTTTTCATAACGCCCTCCCTTCTTCGTGTTGGAACCAGGCCGTGCCTGCGGCCTGAAGCATCCTGTGGGGCCAGCGGCACAGCCTCACCCCAGGCGGTACCATCGCGGCCAGGGGGCTGGAAAGTTTGGAATTCTCGTTTGGGAAGCTGGATTCATACTCCGGGAAGCTGATGGTGGGTGGATGAATGAATGAATGATAGTGAATGAATAGTGACAGGGAATGTGGACAGAGTGTTCAGAAGGTTTGGGGCCGCCACGAGTGACAAGTGTCCACCACCCACGGCAATGCCATTATTCATTGCCAGTGATGTGTAGAAGTCAGCAAGGAAGAGGTTCTGACTCCTGTCTGACTAGTGAGCACAGAGACGGGCAGTCACTCGCCCATGGTCACACAGCTACTGAGAGGAGGACTGGAGGTTCAAAGTCAGGTCTGTCCACCCACACACTCTGCCCTGGTGGGAGCTTGGGAATATGATGGAGGCAGAAGCCCAGGGATACAGTCTGAGCACCAAAGGACAGGGGGAACGCGGGGAGGAGCTGCAAGCATGTCGTGCCCTCAGCCCCCCAACCCTGCACTCGGCCTGGGGCTGTGAGGAAGGAGGGGTGTCCACTCACTGACCTCCCGGCCTCAGCCAGCAGGAGGCCCAGGCCTCCTGTACAGCGCCAGAGGACCTCGGAGCACCAGCCAGATCTGACCTGCTGCCTCTTTTGGTCAACAAAGTTTTGCTGGCACATAGCCACACCCCTCACTCGGGTGGTTTTATGGCTACTTTCATGTGACAACAGCATTGCTGAGTGGTTGTGACAGAGGCCGTGTGACCTCCCTGCAAAGCCAAAAATATTTACTGTTTGGTCCTTTGCAGAAAAAGTTTGCCAACCCCTGGTCTATACCAACGACCAGCTGTCCCTATGCCTAGAACACCACCATTAAAACTACATTCCTTCAGATCCTGAAAGTATTTCATCCCCCAGAGTCCTTTAGGACCATGCAAATCACCCAGGAGGGAGAGCAGCTGTCAGGATCCTCCCCTCTCTGTGTCCTCATTCCCCTTTTCCAGTCTTTTCTTGCTGTGGCTCGATGGTCCCGTTGGGTCATTGAGGGCAGGGCACAGCTGGCTGTGGGGGGGTCAGGATCATTTTCTGGAATAGAACCTGTATTTTCTCAGCACTGTTTGGACTGTTAGTGACAGAACTCTCAAAATAGTCCTAATAAAAATGGAAACTTATTGGCTCATATAAGTTCAGGATGATTTTGGCTTCAGGTATGGCTGGATCCAGGTGCTCAAATGATGTCTTTCCACCTCTTGGCTTGGTTTCCTCTGTGTTGAGTTTATTCTCAGGCAGGCTTTCCCCATGTGGTAGCCAAGAGGGCCACTGATAACTTCAGGCCGGTAGCCTTCCACTGGAAAGAATGTGTTTCATTCCCAGTAGCTCCTGTGAGGGTCCTAAAGAGGCTCCCCAGTGGGCTACGTGCTAACCCGGTCACTGTGGTCAGGGGTGTGGAGCAGTCTGACAGAGCAGGCGTGGGTCAGGGACTGGGGCTGGGTCAGCTCCGCCTGGGTCACAAGCGCTGAGGAAGGGCAGAAGTTTTTTTAACACCCAGAGCGAATTGGAAATAACGTTACGTCAGGAATTCCCCTCTTCCCATTTCACCAGCTCTCTCGAGGTAATTGGAGGCCCTGGTGTGTCAGACCGGGGCTGGGATCTGGGGGCGGGGCGGAGAGCTGCCGAGAGGAAGCCGTCTGCGTCTGCTCAGGGCCTCCACACAGCAGATTCTAAATGCGCTTGTTTCATTGTTTCTGCCCAAAGCCAGCTCATTCCTAGGGTGTTTTTGAGATGGATGGCTCACCCAAGGAACCAGCCAGGCTAGCCCCATTGCTCTACAGGTGGGGAAATTGAGGGCAGAGAGGGGGAGGGCGTGCTCAGAGCTGGACGGCAGAACGGAAGAAACGATTATGGTAGCTGCAGATCAAAGGCTGGCCCTGCAGGACATGAAATCTGGGGCCTTTGCCGAGGAGAGCGCGAGGCCCCCCTGGAGGTGGAGGCGTGGGGAGCAGCAGGGGTGAGGATGCCATGCCCTCCTTCAAGGTCACCAAAGCAAGGCCCTGACCCCTGCCAGCCCCTCCTGCCCCCAGGCTTGTCCTCTTCTCACTCAGACACACCCTGCCTCCTCAGATCTCCGCTCTCCGGTGAGTGCTAAGTTGCAAAATGAAATCATAAATTCAGTTACACTGGGGCTCAGTAGGGATAACGGCTTGATGTGTGAGGGCTTCACCCACCCACCGACACACACACCCACACACACACAGTGTTTAATTCAAGACTTACAAACTCAAATGCCTACAGAGACCTGTTGGTAACACTGATGAGGGAAGTGGGCAGGGGGTGATATTATAGGGAATGGTGGAGACTGTGGCAAACTGGAGAGCACCGCCCGACTAAATGAGGGACCCCGTGCTCATTTCCAGGCAACTGTTGCCAAGCAGGAATGCTATTCCAGGGAGGATAAATCTTTAGCTTTTTCAAAAGAAATTGGTAATTTTGATTTTTAAACAAAGACTTAAATGTTGGCAACTTATTCAAATTTTTATAAAACACTAAGTGGGTCATGCAAAAATAAGTCTGTAGGCTGGATTTGTCCTGTGGGCTCCCTTCATCTGAGAAAGGGATCTGTCATAGTCCACTTCTCCTGAGTGGAGGAGGATGGAGGGAATAAACATCTTAGCACCTGTCAGTTATTTGTTAAGCTCATAGAGGCACCGGGATACTAACTAGACAAATCCAGGGCTTATATTCTGGTAGGGAGATTGCCATGGCACAAATAGGCATGTCGATCATTATTTAACAATGGTGCAGGTGCAACCTTTCACGGAGCCAGGCACAGTGCTGGGTGACATCATGCCCCAGTTTCCTGAACGCTTGCCGTGGCCCTGCTGTCCCCATTGGGGAAGGTGAGGCGACACACACCTGCTGATAGACTTTCTTGGTGACTCTGGAGATGAGAGAACTGGATGGGAGAGTGTGGATGCTCCCATGTCACCCATCCCCCCTGTGGCACCAGCACTCCACGCGCAGCCCTCGGTGGACTTCTGATTTCCACAGAGCTCGGCGCTGGGTGAGGATCAGCAGGCCCTGCAGCAGTAGCTTCCTGGGACAGGCACTCCTACGTCCTTCACTCTGCACACGCAAGTCGACTTACACTGTGGAGCAAGACTGAAAGAAATGCAAACCTGTGTCCTGGTCGTGTGCCTGTTTCCATGCAACGTGATTTTGTCACTGTCACCTTTAGCACTGTCTGCCCATCACTTCCCTTGCTCTGTGGCTATGAAGGGGGCAGCCATGTTATTATCTGACCCCACCAGCTGGCCGTGGTGCAGTGAGGGGTTGTTGGCCTGAGCCCAGCCCCTCAGAGAGCTTCCTGGAAAGTTTTTGAGCTGCAACGCAGCAGGAATGGCAGAGCTGTCAGCAGCCATGCCTCTCCGAGTGTGGAGGAAGCTGGCCTGCAGCGAGAGAGAGGGGGACCACCCCTCAGAGAGGAGCACAGATGGAACAGGTGCCCCTGGTTCCTGATGTTTCCCGCCCCTCTTTTTATGAGACACCTGAATCTTTCTAATAATTATCCTTTTTTGTTTATTTTTTAAAAAATTTATTTTTTAATTTTTAAAAATTGTGGGAAAACACACATGACATAAAATTGACCATCTTAACCATTTTTAAGTGTTCAGTTCAGTGGCATTAAGTACATTTACATTGTGTGCAACACTCACCACCATCCATCTCCAGGACTTTTCCATCTTCCTAAACTGAAACTCCGTCCCCATGAAACACCAGCTCCTCAAGCCCCTCCCCAGCCCCTGGCAGCCCCCACTCTCCTATCTGTCTCTGTGGGTTGGATGACTCTAGGGACCTCATATATCTGGAATCATTCAGATTTGTCCTTTGTATCTGGCTCATTTCACTGAGTACAATGTCCTCAATCTAATAACTTTCCTTTTGCCTGAGCAAATTCAAGTGGGGGTTTTGTCACTTGCAACCAAAATGACACTAATTTAGTCATATGACTTTTTTTAGCAACTTAATTTAAACTGTAATATAGGAGAATGCAGAAAGAAATACGAACACCTATGCATAAGGTACCTTTTTTTCATGAAACTCAACTGGTTCAGTCACTGCCTGTTGGAGGGTGGACTTCTCTTTCATTTCTTTCTTTCTTAGGTGTCAGAGGCATCTTGTACCTGGTCTCACAGCCCGCAGGACCGTGCACTGCGTTTTCTGGCCACAGACATGGCCAGATGTGTTGAGGGCTCTCCCCCGGGTGCACGTCCACCATGCGGCCTCGAGCTCAACAGGGGGTTGTAGCTTGTTCGTCCAGGTGCAGGTCAGACAATGCTGGGACCATTCTCAGGTGGGTTTCAGCTTTTCCTCTCTGCCCTTGGCAATCCTCAGTGGCAAAGAACTCTGCTAGATCTGTCACCTTCGTGGTTTTCACCACCTAGCTGTCTGCTGACTCGATGGTTTCCAGTGCCAGTGGGTCAAATACTTGACCGCTTAGCCGGTCAGTGATCATGGCAGCTGCCGCCCAGGCTGGGGCAGGCTGGGCTGTCTGGGCCTGGCTGGAAGCTGCGCCCTGCATTTGCTTGTCCTGAGTCCTCCTGTCCTCCTGTCTGTCTGGGCCTTGTCTCTGGCCTGCCCTTCCTCAGGAGGAAATAGAAGCTAGTGTTCAGTGGATGGGACATCAGGCCTGGAGTTCAGCAGGTGCTCAGAGGACTCCCAGGGCCCAGGTCATGTTTGGATTCTGTGAGGGTGGGGGGAATCAAAGCAGGAGCTCGGTGGGGTCAGCTGGTGCAGGGGACCAGTAGGGGTGGGTGACGAGGCAGTCTGGGGGACAGCTGCTGCGAGGTGGCTGATAAATCAGAGCAGCCCCCCTTTCGGGAGAATGGCCCTCAGCCTAATGGCAGCTGCTTGCCAGCGGGTTATGTCACTTCCCCCGCCCCTGCACAGTCCCACAGCCAAGGACCGATTGTGGGGGTGCAGAAGGCCGGCCCTCAGGGCAGGAACAGCTCTGAGCTGTGTTCTGCTCCGGAGCTCCACTGGGGTGCATCCCCTCTCACTTTTTCCCTGCCCTGTCCTGCACCCCTCACTTCCTTTTGAGCTGGGTACCTGAGGGTCACTGTAGATAGTCACTAAGTTTTCCCGTTTAACCTGAGGGATGACTCAGGGGTAGAGAGGATTTATGAGCTTGTTTTGCAGAAGAAAGAGAACGCCTTCCGGGAGGTTGTGATCACCAGACGACCAGCCCCCAGCTGCTATTGACGCCCAGGAGTCAGATTGCCCAGGGGCTTATCAGGAGTGAGAGAAACAGGATTACCCCTTTGTTTCTCCAGAACTCCTCCTGCTGAGCCCCTTAGCTCTCTAAACCCCCCTGCTTTCTCTTCTTGTTAAGGCGGATATGAGAGATCCCACCCTCCCACCTTCTCGTTTTGGCCAATTCGAATAAACCTTTCTCCATCTCCAAGTACCAATGGCTCAGTGATTGGTTTACTGTGCACCAGGCACACGAGTTTGAGATTAAGAGGTTCAGTACCACTTTCTTCTACTGGCCCTCCCTCGAGAGTTATGTTCACCTGAATCCCTCCTCAGCCTCTGCTTCTAGGAAACCCTGGAATGGGGTTGGGCTGGGGAGGGGGAGACAGCAAACAAGAAGCCGTGTTAGGAGTTCCGAATCTGTGAGGGGCTAAGTCTAGGAAGGAGTTGGGGGGGGGCAAGGCTGGAGCTGGGGAGGGAGGGCTGGTGAGGCCTTGTCCTCAGAGAGGAGGGGCCAGGGCTCCATGCCCGACAGCCCCCGAGCCCCTCCTCTTGGCTCCTGGGCTCCTGCTCTTGACACGCCTGGTGGTTTGGAGCATCCTGGCCGTGTGTACTTCTCGGGTACCCAGGATGGTTTAGGTGGATGTGGATGAACATCTTCTACCTCAGTAGTGACGCCTTCACATTCACAGAGGTCAGCACATGATGACCACCGTGCCGAGCTAGGATCTCAGGGCCCTTGTTACTGAGGCAGTACTGAGGGAGCTTTACAGAAGTATTCAATGACACTTGTTAAAGATGGTCAGGCAGACTGCAGCCAGTCCCTTGTGATGGGAGTGGGGACCACACATCAGGGTCAGGGAGGTCCTGGCTGCACTGACCTCACAGGACTCTTGCTGAAGGCAGGCCAGGTGATCAGAGACCACCTGGGGGTCGGGGACAGGAGCCCACTCAGATGTCCAGGTGAGCAGACAGAGGGTGGGGGTGCTGGTGAAACTGACTCAGGAGGGTTCTTGCTAAAACTGGAGTTTCCAAGGAGAGGCACGGAGGGGCCTAGGAGAAGGTTTCAGGAGCCTGATTCAGTTTGGTCAAGCAGAGTCTTGTCAGTGAACATAATAAGGATGAACAACTCTGATGGTGGCCTGCGGCCACGCCATGCACCCTGTTGGAGCGGTCAGTGGCATCCCTGTGTGGAGTAGGTGAGCTTGCCTCCTCTCTGCCTGGTGGAGAAAGGGCTGCCTGAGCCCAAGTCCCTGGCCTTGCTGCTCCCAGTCTTTGGTCCCTAATACTGAATTCCTCATCCTGGGCTCAAGGCAGCCACACTGGGGTGGGTATTGTTGGGGGGAGTTCCCTTTGCCTCAAAGCCAGCCCCAGCCCCTGCCTGCCCAGCTATGGCTCCCATCCCAGGCCCAGCCCCCAGGGTCTGCCCTGGCTACCTCATTTTCTCGATAGGGCAGTGTGGAAACCAAAGACCAGCAGAGGCCTGGCTTCTTGGTCACTTCCACAGTCACTCCATGCCTCCTCCCACCAGAGGAAATCACCCCTATCCTTTTGCAAAACCAAAAACCAAAAATCCGAGAGGAGAAGTCAAGATGGCGGCATAAGCAGACTCTGAACTCACCTCCTCCTGCGGACACAGCCAATTTACAACTACTCGTGGAAAAATTACCCCTGAGACAGAACTGAAAGCTGGATAAGAGGAACTCCTGCAACAAAGGACAATCCTAATTGAGGTGGAAGAGGCAGAAACTCCCTTCTGGAGAGAAAAAACGCCAGCTTCACAAGCCGCAGCGCCTCATGGCCACCCGGGAGCAGCCCACAGGTACACAGCCCTCCCTGGAGGAGTGGGGCCCCAAGCCAGGGAGCATCCCCGCTGTGGGCATTTTGTGGACCCAGCACAATTGAGACAAGTGGCATAATATCTGACTTGCCTGCTACTAAAACATTGGGGAGTACCCCCAGAAAAGCTGGTTCACAAATAAATTAAAACCGGCTCTTAAAGAGCCCATGCGCAAACTCACCCATTTCAGAAAGCAACCTAAAATCACCAGAAAGAAAGGTGCACAGTGCTTGGGTGAAAAGAGACTGACCTGATAAGCTCTGAGTGCATTGCAGTGAGAGGTGAGACCTCTCCAGGGACTGGGACAATGGCGGCGGCCATTGTTGTGGCCTGGTGTGGGCATGCTGACACAGAGGCCATTGGAGTTCTCCCTGGGGCCTGCTAGCCCAAGGCTGCCCCACCCACTAGAGCACTGATTTAATCCAGCTCAGCCAGGGCAG